TGTCTGTTTTTTCCTCACTGGTGGCAGTCTAAAGGGGGGAAGTCTCCAAGCCTTTAAGAAGTTATTGCTTTAGTCCTGGTAAGAAATGTTGAAACCATCATTGACTGAGTAGGGCAATGACAGTGGCTAAAAGAAAGGGGATGCAGTTCAGAGATACTTCATGGTCAAGCAGGTGGGAGGAAAAGGAGGAGAAAGAATCAAGGGTGATTCTAAGTTTTCGACCTGGGCAACATCATTTGTAATAGTGCTGTTAAATGAACGAACGATTAGAGGGGAAGTAGGTGTTGAAATCCCCTCACAGAGGGTTATCCAAGGCAATAGGTCTACAAGAAGTTAGACAGTAGGCAACTGTAAGTTAGAGGCATATGACTGAACGGAGAAGTCCATTAGGGATATATACACTTGAGACCTTAGCTTATTGGTAACTATTGATATAAAAACAATCAGGAGGGCATGCAGAGTATTGATAGTGCAAGAAGAGGCATCTTCTGAGCTATGATCAAGACTGAAGAGAGTTGGATAGATTTTCCTCTTCTTTCCCCCCCCACTAACACAAATCCAGTTTATTAATGGATCTAATTTTAGCCTTGAGTCCATTAAAACAAGGCAAGATTAAGGAAACAAGCTAGAGTACAACAGTTTACATAAGTACACTGTCATTTTTTGATTTAGCATTTGTAATGAATGCACAGTCTATAAAATATATTTATTTATTTTTTAAATTTTAATTCAATGTATATAGGGAATCCAGAGATGCATGTAAATGGAAATGAATCGTCTTGAGCGAATGATTTTGAATGGAAGCATTATAAATAACCAGCATTAACTATTGCACATTTAAATTGAATTCTTTTATTTTAAATATTCACAGTACAGGAATTCATTAAGTCTGAATAGAACATCATTATTTACACATCCAAGGAATAACTCCAGTGGTAAATCAGTGAAGTACTTACACTGAATATAAGAAATATATTTGAAGAAAGAGGTTTTCTTCTTACACACACAGGCTCAAATTCTTTATACATTTATTTCTGCCTTGGGATCGCAACACAGATTGCTGAAGTCACTATTAATTGCTGAACAAAATTTCAAAAAGTTATAACAATAGCAATCGCACCAGATATTTATAAGCCCGGGAAAACATCAATGGGCAGGAATCCACATTTTGATGGCATTTGTAAGGGAAGGGAATTTCAAATGACATCTCCAGTTTAATTTGTGAAAAACAGAAGTTCTTCAAACAGTTGAGTATACCGATTTCCTAGGGCATTGGCCTTTCATGGCTTATTAAAATATTTGCTTAGCTGCCATAACATGTTACATTATTTACAGGTCGAATCAATGAAGGGAACAATGTAGTATCAAACTAAAAGCCTAGATCAGGGCTCCCTGAATGTCATGCACATGCGACATCCTGGTTAATGAAGTTAGTCTCCACATCGTTCGGACTGACTAGTCTTTATCTGGATTAATGCTTTACTCCAGGATGAGACAAGACTCGGCCACGTGACTTCCATGTCAAAGAGTAGCTAGAGTCAACTTTTCTTAGCACTATACTAACTTCACTGAAGCTGTTAAAATTGAACTTGCATGAACCAAACATCTGTAAAATAAATAAATAAATAAATGTATAAATAGGATCCCTACTGTTTTTAACAATATGGCAATGAAATTACCTGCCAACAGTATAAATGTTTATCTTGGTGTTTTAAGTCACCAAGTGCTATGTTCTAGCCTTACTATACATGATGAATGGCTATTTTCATTTGGGGGTGGTCTTTGTCCACATATATTACCTGTTTGGAATCAAGCCCTTTCAAAAGCTCAAGTGTATTTTCTAAAAATAAACAACAAAAAAACCCCCCACCAAAACCTAAAATAAAACTTCAGTGAATGAAGTACTTGAGTGTGTCATGACTACTGCAAATTAGCAGCATCTAGAGGCTTGGTCTCTGTAGCTAAAATTCATATTTTCTATGCAACCATTTTTTTTTTCTGAATTCCCCAAGTTTTTGAAAAAAAGATTGGGTTTACCTTTTTTCCCCTAATTATGCTGACTGGCTGTCCACACTCCCAGGATATTCTGCATTTTTTTGCCCAATTTAGTGTTGTGCAGGCCTGGCCTCAAGTGTTTTCCACCTCTCTGGCAGTAGTACTGATTTTGGCAGTATAAAAAAAAGAAAGACATATCATTCTTGATTGTAGAAACAGCTGCCGGAATATTGTGTTCGTAGTACAGAACTGATTAAGATACTGTTCACATCTTCATGCTTTACAGTAGTAAGTGGCTATATAGTACATGGCATCATTTGCCAACAAATGATTTTGTGTGTTATATTTTATTGCCAAGGAGAAACTCCAAGAAGAAAACCGGAGGGAGAAACTTACCACAAAATGCTGCAAAGCTAAAAGTAAAAAGCCAAGCAGCGTTGTCTACTGGCTCATTAGCGCTAAGAATCATGTTTTCACTTTACTAAAGCTTAAAAGGGACTTTTGAAAGGACATGAATCATGCACGTGGATGGAGATGAAGTTTGTGTGTGAATTGGCAGTGTAAATTCCCCCAAAGGTGCATGATTCACCAAAAACGTGCATTTTTTTCATCTAATATAATGCAATCTTAATATCACCCTATAATCTCTAACACATCTTATTTTAGACATGCACTGGCTACTAAAATACAATTTTAAAGAAAAGCTGATGCTTGATATAAAATAACCATGTGTTTTTCAAGTGTGGAAAAATACTCTACAAAAAAATAAGTAGAAAAATGATTTCTGATCAATGCGTGATTTTACCTATAAAAATTCAGATGGCTAATCAGTGTGCTTACAACACCCCTACTGGGTATGCATGGCAATAATACACATACAGAAAGTTAATAGCATTAAATAACTACTAGCACAATGCAATTAAATCCTTAACAGTAATAACATGAACCTATAAACTGTACATTTGGCATTTAGGTTTCAGGATGTTCTAAAGAGTCTGCTTAAATATGACAGTACAATAGTGCAAAATCACATTACATTAATAAAACATACAATTACTTTCCAAATAGTTTATGGATTACTGACCCTTAAATTCACATGTCAGATGACTAGAATTGGCACATTTTACTTCAGCATGATAATTTGACCTTCTTGAGTGTCCGTTGTTACTCAAAGTTACACTTGAACTACATAGAAAAGTTATACACATGTGTGTCTCTAAAGCGTGTCCTTGAGGAAATGAGATGACAAAGCATGTAAAGTCCCCTCTCTTCATTTGTAAAACTCCATTGCAGCTCTTTTTACAGCCCTTTAAATATAATCTCCGGAAGAAATTAATGTCTGTTAATGTCTTTCCCTCCTTTCTCAGGACTCCCAGAGCAAGTGGCATGGCTGCATTGAAGAGAACAGGAAGAAAAGAAGGAAAATTCTAGAAGAATATGTGGCAGTCCATGCCCTCCTCCAGGCTTATTAAACCAGAATGTCAAATCAACAAATCCGGAATAGAACACATTATTCCAGTGAAGATTATTCCAGTGAAGATCCCAATAATTTCATTCAAACAATTTTGAACAATTGTATTCCCTCCAGCAAACAGAACTTTTCACCTTCATCTTATGCATGATTTATGGAAACATTGTTTTTATAGTCATGATTACTCCACTAACCCTGACTCCTACCAAACTCAACTTTAAAAAAAAAAGGGAAAAAAGAGGAGGAAAAGAAAACCCTTGTGACTAATTATATTGTTTTTGAAGGCTGCCATCATGCTGCTAATTCTAGACATGTCAATTTTTATTTAAGAGTAAAAAAGCTGTCTTTATTTTGACTACTCTTTTCCTGTCTCCATTTGGAATGCTACATAGCCTGTGAACCTTTCAGGGCAAGAACTCTCTCTCATTGATTTGAATGCAAAGAAAGCATCTACAAGTTGAAATTTTTTTTTTTTTTTTTTTTT